GTGGGCGGCTTCTACGCCATTGCCCTCACAGTTGTGGCCGCTTCCCTCCTGTCCTACATGATGATGGAGAAGACGCTCAAAATTAAGGAGCAGTTGTATGTTAGTGGTTGCGGAGTGCTGCCGTATTGGACAGCAAGCTGGGTTTTCGACTTCATCTTCACTTCTTCTCGGTCTGTCTTACCTTCATCCCGTTACAGGTCTACAAAATCGAGACTTATCTTGAAGCGGATAACCAGGCTGCGGTATGGGCCTTGTTGGTTGGCTTCTGCTTCGCTACACCGCCATTCAATTACCTCATCAGTGTTATTGCACGCACAAGCACCATCGCCACATATATGAGGGTGGCCGCATCAATACTCGGTGGTTTGATTGGTTCATTCGTGGTATCAGTACTCTTCTTCGCGACCATCGCTCCTTCGGCTGGCCTAATCATAATGTGGATTCTGAGGATATTTCCAACCTATTCAGTGGCACAAGGCCTCATCAATATCGTCTTCACTGGTCTCGATAAATCCTTCTCGGGCGGATTCGTTCTGAGGCCGTTCGACTCGCAGATCTTGAGAACCTGTCATGATACTACTTTATACGACATTAACCGCTCGCCCTTCGAAGTCTGCATGTTCGTTGCTGGTGATGATGTTATAATGTTATTTGTCTATGGCGTGGTATATTTCGGCCTTCTGCTGCTTATTGACTATATGAAAAGCGACGATAAGTGGAATCCTGACCGTGATCTGCCTGTACCCTCGGAGAAGCTTGGTGTAGAGGATGAGAGAGTGATAGCGGAGAAGGATAGAGTATCGAAGCTCGATCCTACGACTCAAATGATCTACTTCAAGGATCTCAAGAAAGTCTTCTATCCGGGAAAGAAAAATGAGGCAAGTCCACTGATAAGAGATGTATGAGAGTATTATCAGAATGTGTCAGGTATGGGCAGTGAGGGGTATCAATTACGCTTTAGCTGACGGCGGAGTGTTCGGCCTACTCGGAGTTAATGGTGCCGGCAAGACCACTACCTTCAGAATGCTTTGCGGTTTGATAAGACCAAGTTCTGGTCATATCAGTCTCATTGGTCAGCCCCTCCGAGGCAATGTGCACGAGGTGACGTGCAGAGTAGAGAGCTTCGCTTTCGGCTTACTTTGGCGTCAGATCCGCAAGTCCATAGGATATTGCCCGCAAGAGAACCCCTTGTTGCAAGGCCTTACTGCAAGAGATCATCTTTATATGTAGTTTGCCTGGTCGGGTCTTAATCGGGAAACACTCAGTGATTTGTAGGTATGCTCGTATACGTGGGGTACCATCTGATAAGATTCCACACCACGTCGAAGACCTCGTGAAGATATTGAGGCTTGAGTGAGTTGTCCTGGATGTGTTTCATCCTAGGAGTCTTCAGACACTACATCGACAAGGAGGCAGTGAAGCTCTCCGGAGGCAATCAGAGGAAGCTGTGCGCTGGTATAGCGCTCG